TTCACGAGCGTGTAACGAATTATTTATCCGATCAATTAGTCGTCGACGATGTCAACAACGCGCGACGCCATAAATTCCCCGGTCGCGTTCGTGAAAGTTCCGTCACCATCTTGATCGATCGTCGATCGATCTTATCCTCCGATGTACGAGAAAGAAATGGTGATTTGCGATCCGCGCGCGCGCGACATTGTTACGCAGTCGCGAAGTGAAATTTATTCAGAGAAGAAGACTCTCGATCGTTTCTTCCTGTATTCCTACCTTCTCTCACAATCTCAGCCTTGCCAATCTCTATCTTGTAATGAGCTGTCGGCACGTCGTCGATCGCTGTACGGTACAATATTTTCGGCTCGAACATGATGCAGGGATCCGGTTCTTCTATACAGCTCAACAAAAGACCTTTCGCCTGTTTCGCTCCGCGGGGCATAACGATCTGAAAAGGACGTTCAGTCACATTTCATTACTCTCCGTGTCGGCCGTGCCGTGCACATGCAATCGGTGATTACGTCCAGGAATTCAGAGAAGAGCAACCTTATCCTGTTCGAAAGTCCCCCGATATCGAAAGTAATGTGTACAAGAAATGTGTGATTTTCACCATTTTTTCTTTTTTCTTTTTTAGCTATGCTACATGAGTTTCAGGGTAAGGATATAAGTGATGGATGGATAAGTATGTATTGGAGACCTGGAGGAAAGCGATTTTATCCTGTTTGAAAATCAATGTCGAGGAAATTCGGAACACTTAAAAACAGAGGAATAATGAATGATGTATATAGCATTTGAAGCTCAAGCTATAAAATGTAGGATTTGAAAAATTGAGAAATTTCCTTAATTTGGAAATTCTGACCTTCTATGATCTAAAGTTCAAAAACGAAACGATTTAAAATGTAAAATGTAAAAATGAAATATAAGTTTGACGACAGTGTTCCTAGGAAATTAATATTTCCTCTTTTTAAGTCTTTTCCTCTTTCAGTCTGTATCCTGAGGACACATCAGGATTTTAATCAGCATGCCGTAAACAATCGTGACAAGAAAATTCGAAGGACTAAAGTGAAAGAATCGAATAATTATGAGCCATATCGAACAATCCGTTTTCCTTGGAAACGTCCATCAAACTGTCCCTTTCACTAAATACATCTTACACTTAACACAAAGCTTCCATTATCCAAATTAATGAAAACCAACCTGAACATCATTTATATAATTATATAAATTTTTATCCAAAATATGTATCTAAAAATATATATTTCCATATTAGCGAGAAGAAAATTCCTTATATTTTCTTCAAATTTTCCCCAAAACACTGTATCTACCGCTAAAAAATACCCCATCAAATTTTACTAGTTTCAATAACTCCAAAATAACGCAAGAAATATCGCGCGTCTCGGAAGAGATACGAGGCAACCGTGCACTTCGGTTAATGAAATTCAAAATTCGATAAAAAATATTATGAAACACAGGAGGAATAAAATATATTTGGTCGTTCGAAAACTTCGTAGCGAAGAAACTAAAGAATGAGTTCATTACATTTTCTGAACAAAAAGTTCTCGAAAAAAGAAGAAATAATTTTTCTTGGATCTCGCTACCAACTCGTCGAATTAATGGTATATGCTGGCAACAAACAAATTCGTTTCGTTATGTCGCAGGTTCGTTTCCATGATTGGTATATTATGTCGATGTGCACGACGAAGAGCGTGTGATCTCTCGGCTTCAGGAAATGTCGACGTGATGTTGCGCACCGCTGTTCATGTAATCGAGATGTATAGTGTCGGTAGCGGCACGTTGGTGTACGAGGAAAACTTTCCTCATGCATACATCGAGTACATGTGCCGTGCAATATTCATGGAATCTCTTCCAGAAAGTTAAGAGCCAGCGGCTATAGAACCGACGCGAAGTCGTCGATGAAGGATATATCCTTGAGTATAGAAATCCGTTCTGGATGCTCGTTCAACTTTTTATAGCGTTTCTATTCACTCGTGACCGATTTGTTTCGCGATCGTTCAATCTCCAATTCGATGAATAGCCGACGATTAAATTTGCGAAATG